GTGTTGTTGACTCACTGCCCAGTATGTTCTTGTGAAGGGATGTTCAACACGACTTGTGCACGGATGTGTACAATATTGTGTACGTGTACTTATACACATCTTGTCTGTCTGTCTGTCTGTCTGTCTGTCTGTCTGTCTGTCTGTCTGTCTGTCTGTCTGTCTGTCTGTGCGCTTATATTACCCTATTGTGTTGCAAGTGCCGTAAAACTCTCATATGACCTTATGCAGTTGCGAGCGCCGTAAAACTTATACTAAAACAAACAAAAATTGCTAAGATTAAACTGTCTGTGTGGGTGGTTGGCTGGTGGTCTGGTGTGGTTTGCTTCTTCTTTCCTATGAAATATGTATCTTCCTTATCTCCCCTCCTTTTTTTTTTTTTATGTTTGTTACTCTCTTGTAACACCTCTAATCTTCTTGCGCTCATATGACCTATGCAGTTGCGAACGCCGTAAAACCTCTACTAAAAAATAAACTGTCTGTGCGCTGAGATTGTCATTTGTTTCTGCGTATACTGTTGTCATTGGCGTATCGATGCTGTTCTTTGGAACATTAGTAGACTGACTGCGCACCCGTACTTGTGTGTTGCTATTCGTCAGCCCTTAATAAGCATACTGTATTGGATGAGTTTTACTTGGGTAGTTGACGGATGCTGTGGTGCTCCTTCTATCCTATCAAACATCTACCGTCCTGATCTTTCCTCCTTCTGTTTTATGTTTGTTACTCTCTTGTAACACCTCTAAACTTTGGCTCTTATATGACCTTATTGTGTTGCAACTGCCGTATAACTCTTACTAAAACTAAAACCGGATGAGTGTTACACTCTCACTTGGGTCGTTGGCCGATGCTGTGGTGAGCTTTGCTCCTTCTTTTCTGCCAAATATCTGTCGTATTTATCTCTCCGTCTTTTCCGTGTGTTTTACTCTATTGTAACACTTCAAATCTTCGACACCCATTGTATTACCTATTTATGTTGCAAGTGTCGTTACCTTACTAAAAACTAAACTAAAGCACCCCTACCAGCGGAGGGTTCGAGGATCCCACGGTAGATCTTATTTCTTCACTTGCTCACCTTTCTCTGTGGTGGTCTTTTTCAACATTAAGTGACCGTCATTTTGTCGATGTACTCTTTTTCATAAACGTAGTAAATACCCCAGGTCATGTTTGCCTTCCCACTATACTCGTCATAAGGGCAATTGCTAGTATTGCTCGTTGTTTATGCATAACATGTATATATCCAGTTTTCCCATGTTATAGTGTTTTGTGTGGAGGACCCGTGGAGGGGTAGACGTTTCCTCCAGCTGTTGTAACCACAAGGCTCTCTCTCTCTCTCTCTCTCTCTCTCTCTCTCTCTCTCTCTCTCTCTCTCTCTCTCTCTCTCTCTCTCTCTCTCGTGCCACTGATGCTGCAAGCAGCCTGCTTCCCCTGCTGCTCCCCTTCTCTCCCTTCCTCCCAGCTACCATCCGCGACGACTACCGTACCTTCCTTCTTCAATTTCAATGCCAGAGAGGAACCTCCCCGTGGCTCTCTTCTTAGGCCGACACAGACGTGTTTTATGGTTTTCCTTCCTGTGTCGGCGGCTCTCGGGGTTGGTTGGTCTCGAGGAGTAGAGGAGTGGGTGTTTGTGTGTATGTGTGTCACCCCCCCCCTCCCCTCACACTCACACACACACACACACACACACACAAACA